GTCGTAATACAGTGAAGAGCGTTATACCAATCCTCACTCGTTATATTGTCAATATTGATACCAGTGGTTGTGTTATATTATCTACATAACATAGCGTAACTCGGTGCACGCATGCATCGAACCTTGACATTGTCAGTTGAAATATACTGAACCGCAAAAGAAACGTCACCATGGATAGATATATGAGAAACCCTATTTGTCCAAACACTGTAAACATACTTTGAGACATATTAAGAAGATGAAACTTGGTAAAACTGATCATCAAGGTTGAAATTAAAGTGTCATTTTGTTCTTAAAGTGAAACACAACACTAGTCAGCATCTCGTGTGTCCACCATGTGCATTGATGACTGCCATGTGCAACGTCGATACATGGAATGGATGAGGCGGTTGATGAAGGCCAAAGGCACTTGAGCCTACACTCTGAGGAACGCCTGACTCAGTTCAGCTGCAGTTGTCGGCTTTGGTCGGACGTCATTCAACCGTCTCGTCCCACAGGTGCTGAATGGGATTTAAATCGGGACTGTGGGCAGGCCACTGCATGGGTCTGATGCCTTTCTGCTGGAGGATGTCTCTTGTTACTCTCTCAGTGTGGGCATGGGCGTTATCATGCTGAAACTCGTGGTTGCGGCGACCCACTGAAGACGGTCCTACGCGATGATGTGGTATCAGAATGGGTCCTCGATGTGGCCTGTGACAGCGGAGGTGTCTGCTCGTCAATCGTCGACGCACGGTGTTCGCACTAATGTGTCGCTGGTGTGTCCCCATGGTCTATCGAACAGTTTCCGCAGCAGTAACAAAGCGATCTTGAAGATGCTGTTGCACAATCTGACGATGGTGACCTTTGGTCTTCCACTACGTGGTCGGTCATCTGTAGTGTTGGTGGTCTGGTACCGTTGCTGGAGCCTGTATATGGTCCTTACGTGGACTTGAAATGCATTTGCTACTTGCCGGGCGGTGTGTCCAGCTTGCAATCGTCTAAGGGCTTGGTGTCGCTGATTTCATGTCAACCTTGGCATGTGGTAGCAATTCAATAACGAATGAATGTTTTCCGATCTGGGTGGATTTTTATAGGGCAAGAAATGGGGAAACGTATTTTCATTTCAATTTGCACGGAACTCACGTGCATCGTCAAATTTCATTTTTCCGGACAAGGTAATGTTAAATTTTAGAAACTTTGACAAAAATTACCCAGATTTATAAATGACAACTTTTCATGCAATGTTACTTTGGTTGACGTTTCTTTTGCGATTCAGTATATGTCGGGTTATCGGAAGCTCAAGAGCTGCCAATATAAATCTTTCTTTTTTTCTCCTTGGAGTAAGTTGCATCGTCTCAGTGACATCTTAATGAAGTCCGATTGAACTAGGTGTCACTATAATACGACGAACATATTTTACATAGCCGTTGGTATTTGTCTGCATTTTTTCAGTCAGAGCACGATTGGAAGCATTGAACGTGGTGACAAGATAGCGTCTTGTGCTTGTGAGTCAACCGAGAAATACATATATGTGACAATGTTGTATCATTCCTGTTGCCAAATAAACTTAACTCATAAAGAACCATAATATCATTTGAAATGAATCTTTCTGCCACGGTATTTCGCCCATGTCCGTGAAAAACAGCTTCGTTGTATCCCAGTTTGTTAACGTGTCGTCTTTCGGCGTGGTGACCGTTGGCTATATACCTGTAAATAGCTAGTAGGTACTTAACGGACAGTTAATATTTAGAGCGTAATATGTGCGTGTATATGGTATATTTAACATGGCTACATCTATTTTTATTTCTGAGGTCTATGTGTATGAAATATATTCTATGCCAATTGAAAATAGTGTATTTGCTATGAGGAAAAAGGCTTCAATTGTGTGAATGATTCGATACTTAGGGCGTACTCCGATTCGTTTATGTGACTATTCAAGTTAGTCCAAATAAGATTAACTGATAAATGTAATCGTTCATGAATGATTGGTGAATGTTTGGGTCTGTAGTGTTAATAAGAGTACACTTCAGCTACTATTCAAAGCAAACGCCCTCGGTCGCGCATCAGTGCTCACTGTACGACATAAAGCTGTGCAGAGCTGATCAGTGAGTCAGTGAGTATGGTTTTACGCCGCTTTTAGCAATATTCCAGCACTATCACGGCGGGGGACACCAGAAATGGGCTTCACACATTCTACCCATGTCGGGAATCGAACCTGGATCTTCGGCGTGACGAGCGACCGCTTTAACCACTAGGCTACCCGACCGCCCCCAGAGCTGATCACGTCAGGGGCCGATAATCGTAGTCTCGACTCTCAAATAAATTAACCCTGATCAAGATTCTTGGATTGTCAGCAAAACGGTTTCCCAACATGATGAAGGCCACGTCAGGCATTCCTCCACCTATAAATCTTGAAACTGATTGAATTGCGTCTAAAAGCGGGTTAAACAAACCACACAGTTCAGATGATGTTATTAAAAATGTAAGTCCAGAACATTTCATGCATCATATTCATCTGTCTGGAAAAGTGGATGAGTAGATGAATATTTTCTTACACGAGATCGGAAATGCTTGCGGTTATTTCCGGCAAGACTATTCTGATTTGATTGATCACGATGAAATAGACGTGTAATTTTGTTTTATTGACCCCTATCAACGGGATGATTGCACTTTGAATGACGTATCCACGTGATTAACACTCTGTGCTTTACTCCCACCAAAACAAACACATTCAAAACAAACACATACACTAAAAAGTATGGAAAAGACTTGTCTCAAAACATAACTAGTGATAAATGGTCATATGATACCAACTGCGTCAAATACACACACGTTATGTGCATTTCAACGTTGTTGCCATATTGCATGATGCTGGGTTTCTAATACAAAGCGACACGCAACTCTCCGGGCCCTGGAAACTCTTGCCTGACTTTCAGCCATATCAAGCTTTGAAACCAATCCCTATTCACCTATTAAACAACCACTATAGGTTGGGTTATTGATTGACAAAGTCAAGAGAACTCTGGTTGCGTGAGAAGGGCGTGTGACACTCTCAGCTTCAAGCAGACAAACGAAGCGACAAAGCGGAATGTGTTTATCCATAGTTACTGCAGTACTTAGTGGATGTACAAGTACCGGTATCCATAGGGCCGACATCCACCTTGTTCTCTATTCATCTGGTTTACATTAATGCTATCCATTGGAATATTACGGGGGCACAGCTGGGCCAGTTGTTTAAGGATCTTAATTCGCTATGCATAGTTGCGTTCCTTGGGCACGTCAGAAACCTATGACCGCGGCTTCGAATACTGGTACGCCCCCGATTACGTTTCTAGGTTTGTCCGTGCCGTACGTATACCGTAAGAGGCGACTAACGGGATCGGGTGTCAGGCTCGCTGACTTGGTTGATGCATGTTATCGATCCTAATTGCGTTGATCGATGTTCATGATGTTAGTCACTGGATTGTCTGTTCCAGACTCGATTATTTACAGACCGCCGTCATATAGCTGGAATATTGCTGAGTGCGGCGTAAAACAGCAAATTAAACCAAACAACGTACGTATCCCCGTGCTTGTAGGTTTCACCAAAGTGGTAAATGTCTGGGACCTGCATCACTTCGGGCCTTTCTCACATATATAACTGGAGTACTGTTAAAAGCGGCGTTAAACTCAACTCTCACACTCACTCACTATTCGAGTATTATCAATACCTTTTGCATGTATCTGCATTATATCACGAATGACAGTATTGATGACGCATTGTTGGTTGAATACATTGTGCACCTCTGTTCAGCCCCCCCCCCCCCCCCCCCACCGATTCCGGGCAAGAAATCGTTATCCACGTTTGTTGCATTAGTTGAATGTTGTGGGGTGGATGGTCACAGTGAATGACGTGGGTTTTATGTCGGGAAATTCCAAAATAAGGGAAACATCAAACGACACAAATGTTGATTCCATATATGGATACTCCTCCCTGTCGATACTGATAATTTAAGATTTGACTATTATTCTGTTCATAATAACAACAATAATAATTATAACATAAATGTATACATGACCTTACCAGTGAAACGTAGCACGCACATGCACTGCAGTCATTTGATAGTCGCTGTGGTAAATATAGAATGGTGATGGATTGTGTGTCACGTTTGTATGTATACACGTTTGATGTTTCCTCAAACGTTTGACAAAAGTCAGATTGTAAAGTTAACATATAACGTAAACAAACAGATAATCATTGACGCGCTTAATCGTCGATAATGACAAAGACAGCACGAGGACAACGATACTAATTTGTAGTTCACATGTTTTGCTAAAACCCCCATTAAACAACGATTGACGTCAAGCCTAGTGCCAAGGAAGTATTGGAACGCTGTCATCTCACGATCCTCAAGTACCATTAACATTTAACCATCATGTTGCTGGTGTTAACTACGTTATACAGCATGTTCCATTCCCACTTCACTGGTATGAATAACGTATGACACGCAGGCATGAGTACGCAATCGTAAAAAGGGTAGATAACTGCCATAGAAAGGGGGACATAATGAGGAACAGGAAACGACTGTAGCAGCCGGATACTTTCCATTTGGGTTGTAACAGTCAGATCGATGATCGATTGCCTGATCTTTCAGATTATGATGGATCAAAATATTGATCCAAAATATGAAACTAGTTGCTAAAAGGAAGAAAGATGTGTGATATTTTTATTGAAGAGTTTTTGTCCTAGGAAAATTAATAACTGGGCACTTCCATAGAACCCATTCGTCAGAATTAAGACAGCAGATTTAGCAGTTATTGTGAGTCTGTGGTTTGAAGGCGCTAGTGGTGGGTGTTTTTGTTCCTAATCAGCCATGGCTGTGATTTATATAGGCTGATACAGAGAACAATGAAGTGTTATTGGCATCGGGCAGTGTTTGCTCTGGTCTCGTGACAGTTCGCTTGGATACCCTAATACCCTGTAAAGGGCCTGGTATTAATCACCTGTATTGCTAATATAGCCTATGATGGTAAGCGAGAAACAGCGGAACTCGTAAGCAGTGTGATTATTTCTCGCTGGTGTCACGCTGGCTTGGTTTCAGTGGGAAGAGGCGTATTCAACAACTCACGAAAGGAGTAGATGGTCTGGTTGTAAGGGATATGTACTCCCATACAATGTACACCAACTACAGATCGGTACAGAAGAGCGAGCACTATGGCAGACCAAGATGTGTTGAAGACTAACAATGAATTTATCACCAACCTGAAAACTTAGCACATCATTCGGAATTACATCGGACATCTGTTGTGTGGAGATGAAACAGGCCATAAAAAAACAGCATCTGAGCAAGTGTAATAATAGCGCCCAGACAGACAGTTCCATTTTCAACCAGTTAGGATGTCCCGCAATTCGAATCTGTTCACTGTATAATTCATGGACTCATTTCCAGGGACGAGACGAGGGGATGATTAACTAATTGGTAGTCCCGCTAGACGAAGCTGATGAATTTTACAAGACAGACATTAGGGTTGAATCATTATCCCAGTCAGGACCTTGGTACAATGCTGATGGGGGCATCACTGCGTGACAGTTGGCTCCCTGTCGCAGTCGGATACATCTGATATTGAACGTCTAATTGGACAATTGTCTTGGAGACTGGATGTGCATGTTTAAAGAGTTTGTTCCGGATCACACCGCTCGTGCAGGCCATAGGATACGATGATGAGGTTTAAACACCTGGTAATTATCTCACTGACTGCCAAGGACGGGATCCATGTGAACTGCAGCACTGGAAAACATTATCGTGGCTTGATGTTATGGATACCACCGTGGTGATAACTCGGGGAAGGACACGTTGAGCGAAACGTTGGTGTCACTAAGTAACTTGGTGTATGTTGCTGTGATAGAATCATAAATATAAATCAGTTATACTAACATGGAAGTGTTTAAAGTTCGCGGTACATTTACACCTCACCCCAAACTTGTGTCTTTCCATGCGATACCGGATCCCACGAAAAAGTGTAAAATACAACTATATGATACAAGTGGACATGTTAAATTCATCCCGGATTTTAAACGAAGAACTGGACAAAGACCGGCAACCACAGAATCTGACCTGTGGCCCCCAATGGCGTCACATAGGAAGAACGATAAGAAGACAAAGTATTTGTTGAAAGTGGCGAGACGAATTCAACTTGGAATGGACAATACGAACAGTACAACGACATCGGAAGATGCAGCTGCAGTGTCTAAGGATCCAAGTCAAACCACCAGCTCTTTCCTCGAGGTGCTTCAGAACAAACCGGCCGTCATTAAACGGAGACGCACAGTTCATGGTGTGTCAATAGAACAGAAAGCAAACATATTGGAAATAGAAATACCATCTGTAGGTAACCCGTCGACTTGCAGTCATACATCATGTGCGTCAAACCCAAGCGAACAGTCCCGGGACAAAGGAATAGGTCGCTGTCGATTGATCACTGTTACCTCAAGCCAACCATGTATCCAGAACGAACCCGGAGTCTTCGAAAATACCTCGGAAATATCCGATTCCGATTATGGTGGGTCGGTGGATCGATTAGACGTACAGAAACACAAGTCGAGTGATATGTTTCCAACAGTCGATGAAAATGTGTCAACATCGTGCGACAGTCTTCGCACTACCCTCGACGCATGCCAGGAAAGAGCAGCGCGAGTCACGTGGGACAAAATGACGGCACGATTTCGAAGTTTTCGAAGACTGAGGTATGGAAAGTCGTATCATAATTTGCTTCAGCAGAATGTCCGTACAACTAAATTGGAACAGGCGGACGCGGCAACCTCCAGGAAACAGAAAACATTACGACGAGTCCGTTCATACGGTGATGTCAATGAGAAATATGAATTTCGTACATTTCGAGTGAGTATTACAAAATGTCTTGTCGGACATCTTCCGATGTCGTTGTACTGTTCGTATCATACACTTCGTGTGCATATACAGAAGCAAAGATAATCTATGAATTCATAATTTTCACTACTGATATATTTAGTTGTGTCTTCGCATACGAGTGTCGTTAAAGATCACCAGTTATCACTAAAGAGACAAACAGTCACGAGGCTTATTTCATGGGTCTATTAATATTAGCTCCTAAATGGAAGATCATTAACAATAGTTTAACATTTATATTAACTTCACACCGTAAAAGTCGTGTTTATAGTTTGTAAGCCATGTGTGTAGTATATAACATAATTGACACACTGTCTGATGTCATCTCACTTATTATCTGCCACGGCAGATGATATTGCCCTGTGTTCGTTGACCGGTATCTAATCACCACAATGTGAAGAGAGACAGGAGTGACATGCAATGGCATCAACTTGATGAGCATCTCCAATGGTCAGCGTCCCGTGAAGATCCGGGATAGAAGAGGTCTTCAGCAACCCATGCTTGCCGTAAAAGGCGACGAACATAATCGGGTGGTCAGGCTCGCTGACTTGGTTGATGCATGTCATCGTATCTCATTTGTGTGGATCGATGAACATGGCATCAATCACTGGATGGTCTGGTCCAGACTCAATCATATACAGACCGCCGTCATATAGCTGAAATATTGTTGAGTGCGGCATTAAACAACAACAACAAAACCAAAGACAATGCTCAGCACTGACAGCGATGACGTCAATTGTTTGCGTAAGTGACGGCATATGTATATATAAAGACGTATTCCCATTATACTTCAGTTACATAGTCAGAATTACAATAGTGAGTCATTGGGAGGGAATGTGAGTGCAGTGTTATGGGACACTTATTTTTCCGTATTACCCGTATCCTCATCCGTATCCGTAAAAATCACCTTTGTTTGCAGAAAATACGCAGTGGCATTTACAATTTCCGTATCAGTCTTGGTGCATTTTGGATACGTGTCCCGCATCTGGTTTGTTTTCGACCCTAGACCGATATTTGCAGATACTGATGAACCTGCTAATGGAATTACCTCTGTTGTGACGTCACATAATGTTGTGAACCCAGTGGAATTCCCTTTTAACAAGTCTGCAACATGGGCTACGTTTGAATACGTGTGGAAATAACACCGGACAAGTGTAGACCTGAATACGAATACGTGTCCCAGATACGGACACGGGAGCGAAACAAAGCGGACAGGTATTATCCGGCGTTACTGTTTAACCAGGACGTATTTTGTTTTGGGGTGTACTGCTGTGGTGCGTCTGGCAACAAACAAACACTAACGGGTTGTGAGTGGCGGGTGCTACCGGTAGGGCAAGACGTGCTTACCCTTTTCGCGAATACCTTGTAACATCACTGGTTTCCAGTGATCAATTAATATGATTTTCACCATCTAATATACACTACTCAGACTGACCACTTTGGTATCCGTATGACACTCAAGGATTGCCCTTAGTGTGATGCTCGAACAAGCGTTCTGGACATTTGTTTGTTGGCGTAAAACGTCAAACGCTTACGTGACCGAAGGGAAATCGACTGAGGCAGCGCATGACATTATATATATGTTTGGAAATGTACCAACCGCTTACTAAGTTCAGTAGACTCTATCAAATTTACATTCTAAGCCGAACATCACCAGTGCTGCCCACGGACATGTGTACATCTTTACTGAGTCAGTCTCCATTATGTTTTTTTGTAAAATGTAAATAACGGTATCAAGTTTCCTTTAACAAGCAAACAATTAATATACAAACTAATACTTAATAACACACCAGGGACGGCGACAAAATATATGTCCAGATTTTTTTAATTATTTAAAGTTCATATCAGAAACATACTGCTTCCGGTTTAACATTTGTTTGTTGTTTAACGCCGCACTCAGCAATATTCCAACTATATGACGGCAGTCTGTAAGTAATCGAGTCTGAACCAGACAATTAAGTGATTGACAACATGAGCATCGATCCACGCAATTGGGATCGATGACATTTATCAACCAAGTCAGCGAGCCTGACCCCCCCCCCCCCCCCCCCCGATTGCTGAAGACCAGATCATGTTGTCAATGACATTATGTTATAATTCTTCAGTTCACCCTAAGTGGGAATACCCTGCAAACAAATTGTTGTCACAGGTAACTGAGGGGTTGAGATGGTCAGACACGGTGACTTAGAAGACTGCGTATCACCGTATGCCGACGATGCTCATAATATCAATCACTGGACTGTCTGATCAAGGTTATTTTAATTACTGGCTGCCGTCACAAAGTTGGAATTGTGCCAAATGCGGTGTTAAACAACAATCATTTAAACAACTATGTTAATGGCCAATGAGTTTCCCCATAGATCAGTCACAAGTTACTGTAACCTGGCCTCTTGTTTACATTTGTTATTTGTACTGACTATTGGAGGTTTGAACAAAAACGGGTCAGCAGCAAACGCAAGCCTTTTAATTCCCGTTCGAGACAAAATCACATGAATCTTTCATTACTCACATCTAGAAGTTAATCAATGCGTTTGGCACAGTGCGTGTAGGGAGGCATGGTCCTTAGCGAAATATAGGTGCGGCGTTTAACGCCAGCCATAAAGTACCTTCCCATCCTAAAATCACACATTCATAGATAACATCAGCTATATGTGAAGACGTAACAGCGCAAGTGTGACATTGTGTATTGCCTACATCAATATGCTAAAGAATTATAAAACTGATTGGAGTTCCTCTGTGTTTGGTATGATGCAATAGACTTTCGGAAGTTGTCTAGATATGCAAAGGTAGAATTGTGTATATTAGATGAAAGAAATGGCTACAATAGGATTCTTTGTACGGCAAGGAATGAGACTCGTGTTTATAAGAAGGAAGAGAGAGGAGGTATACCCTTATGAACCACCTTTTAAGAAACCCGCTGAGAAGGAAATCGAACATATCAAACTTAAGGAGGAACAGGAATTGAAGGCAAAACAGGTAGGCGATGTCTTTTGGGTATTCATTTAACTAGGTAGATGTGATAATTAAAATTGTGTCAAAATTGAGTGGTTCCATTTTATCAAAGTTGAAACATCCTAGCTTCATCGTTTTTGTTTTTTTGTTCGATAAAGGGAGGTGTTGATGCTAAAAGGTCAAGGCAACAAAAATTGTAGCATAAATACTCTATGTTCAAATTCTCAGGATTAGAACATTCATTGTTTAAAATACATCATACATGAATTCACATTCAGAGCGTCTGTATTTCTGTCTGCCATATATGAAAAAAACCTCATTCTTTGAACATGATTTTTTTCATTTTACCTCATGTCTGAAGGGTTTACCTGAAAGATATTTACACCCGAGAGTCGTAATATGTCTGGCTTTTGTTTAAAGCGGCGTTAAACAACAATTAAAAACAACATCCTCAAGCATTTAAGTCGTAACTCGTATTGACAATTAAATTAGGCGTGCTATTCTCAGCCTATGATTGTCTGCGTTGATGGAGTTAGCTGCTAATTGTTGTGCAACATAATCCGCTCAGTGGTTTACACGTTTCTGCCAATGATGCTGGAGTGCCTGGATCACACAGGTGTAGAAGTCTTCCCCCTGGTGGTGTAAACGTCGTCCACAGCAGAAAGGACGTCATCACCATTTGCATAATGCTTGCCAGCCAGTTCTTTCTTTCTTTTGGGAAGAGGTGGAATTCTGAATACGAAGGATGTTCAATGCATTCCAAGCCAAGTCATGCATTGCAGCCATGGCGACAGCATAATGTGGATAGGTGTATTGACCTGGTGGATGTACACACTTTTAGTCGCCAGTTGTTCAGGTTGTGATGTCCATCACTACTAGTACTGCTCACACTGTTGTAGTCAGCCCTCATGTGACTTGTAAATTTAGATTCACTGATGTGCATGTATGTATACAACGCGGTAAGCCTCTTTGTGTTATAACATTTATGGACAGTTTACATTGCGAAGGTAAATGAAACGGATTGAATGATTTGGTTGGTTGGTTTCTTGATTAACGCCACACTTAGGAATATTCTTGCTATATGACGGCGGTCTGTAAATAATTGAGTCTGGACCAGACAAACCAAGTCAGCGAGCCTGACCACCCGATCCCATTAGTCGACTCTTACGACAAGTATAGTCACCGTTTACGGCAAGCACGGGTTGCTGAAGACCTATTCTAACCCGGATCTTCATGGGTCAGATTGAATGATGTAGGTGGTGCAAATGTTTGAGATAGTGGAGATATGTCCGTCGCTTGCAACGACCATACAGAAACCAAGTGCCGTTATTTGTGGAGGATAACGTGTCGTATACATCACCACACAATAGGTCATGGGTTTCACCAAAGTAGTAACCGTGAAATGCCTCTATCACATTGGGTGATCCTCCTACAATAAACTGGCACCCCGTGATGAAACTGAAGTGTATTAACAAAGCGGTGAACAACATACTTCACACACAGCTTTATAGATATGTAAAAATATATTTACCTTGCCCCTTATCTAGTTTAAAAATTCCGGACTGAATCGGCTCCAAAGGCTGAATGCTTGTCTAATTAACATTCGTCACCACTCGCCCCTTTCCGTAACCTGCATTCGGCTTGTCCCGGAATAACACGAGTTGGTCACGAATGGTCTAATTAAAAGTCGACTAATATAAAATGGAATCGCTTGGCTGAATATGTGACAAGGAGGATTATGTGATATCGCTCCCCGACATGCTATCAACCACTGGTTCGACAAACCCAGATTTATTATTTTCACGCCGTCATGATATTGTTGGAATATTGCTGAATATCACCTAAAACAAGAATCTGATTCATTCGCACGCATAACTATCGTAGTACTTCATAATTTGCTCCTTGTACTTTATGTCATTAAATGTGATATGCAGCATTAATTGACAGCATCAGATGGTCAAAGCCAAATATTTTATCATAAAAAGTATATCAACCCACCCCTGAAAAAAACTGAATGTTTCATGAACTTACATGTAATAAGCTGATGCTTCATTGCACAGAAACGACCCCTTCTTCCCAGGTTCCTTAAGTCTGTGTCTTTGATAGTTTAAGGTTTTGAACTCCCTGTAATTGTCAGCATTACCCAACGAACTTCCAGGTGAAAATACCTGTAATTACCTGAGCTAATCACCTCACGGTCGATTATACAGGTGTGTCACCATATGTCGGTTAAACCTTTGCGGTAACGCACTCATGTAATTTCTACATGGGACAATAAGCACTATAGTGCTGCTGCACTGCCAGGCGACGTCACAAAGAAAAAGAGCATAGGTTCTTGCGTCTGTATATCATATGCAGTAAAGTATCTTTGTCATGGAGACATCGAGGCTAGTTCGCCTTATCTGTAGTGTGAGACAAGCGAAGTGTCCATTACGTCGATGACGATTTCACAGGGACCACACGTCTTAAACGATATATCGAATTAATGGTTGTCGAGTTAACGAGGTTATTGAGAATTGACAGCCAAGGCGAACCTGTTGGTGATCAGGTTTATGAATACATGAAAGGGAGTGGAATAAACGTTTTCACGGAAACGGATGAAATATGAAGGGGTTGCCGATAATGGATATATAATATTTATTAATGGTCACAAATGATTAATTACAGTGGTGATAACTGATAACTGATCAGCAAAATGTCTAACTACATAAGCATGTCAATAGCGGGATGGACGAGACTTAAAGGCCTGACGTTCTCTGTGACAAACTTATCGAATGTTTTCATCTTAAGTTCGCGTTCTAGCGATGTAATTACCATTAAATAGTTATGTGCGTCCATTAGAATACAGGGCTTTGGATAAACGTATTGGTCAAAAGCTTTCGCTCGTCCGGGTTCGATTCCCCACATAGGTATATTGAGTGAAGATGTTTATTTGTGTCCCTCGCCGCGATATTGCTGGGGTATTGCTAACAATGGCGTAAACGTATACTCACTCATGAACAGAATGAGCTTGTGTCCCGCTAGAGGACATTCAGTATTATAACGCGGCTACTGATAGTGCCAACATTATGACGTCATGGTGACGTATTGGCCGACACGCCGACGTGTATATTTGGATTGCAATGTGGTGATCTGACTAGCCAGTCGGACACCTAAGTTTATAACAGATAGAATGGTATACACGGTCACGCATCGCTACAAACAAAAAGTTTGTCACCTATTACATCATTATTTTTTCAGTGTGAAACAGTTTATACTTCTAAACATAAAGCTTTCTTTTGTAATGTACAGTACTGCATATAGTTGGGGACCCGTGAAGATCCGGGGCAGAATAGGTCTTCAGCAATCCATGCTTGGCGTAAAAGGCAACAATGCTTGTCGTTAAAGGCGACTAACGGGATCGGGTGGTCAGGCTCGCTGACTTGGTTGATGCATGTCATCAGTCCCAATTGCGTGGATCGATGCTCATGATGTCAATCACTGGATTCCCAGGTCCAGACTCGATTACTTACAGACCGCCGTCATATAACTGTAATATTGCTGAGTGCGGCGTTCAACAACAAACAAACAAACATATAATTGGTATGTTTGAATTATTTTGTTCTTTACTCCGTCATTAAACTATAAATTAATCTAAAACTGACGTCTCCATGACACTATATATATAATGTGCATGCATTGTTACTATATTTGATACAGCGGTTGATATTCAGGGATTGTCTAAACCTATGCGCTTTAAGATGAGATATGTGTATTCTACATGTACTTTCATTGATTTCAGCCACTGTACAAATTCAGACGAGCTGTTCGGAAGGTTATTATCATGATCAAGGCTACCGTGTCCAGCAGGTAAACATGCACACACACCTTTGTGTACCACTGAATATACATTGAGGGGCAAAAGAAAGTATACCGAGTTACCGATTTTTCTGTAAATGAAAATCGAAAGAACTTTTGTTAAATTATGTCTATTTACCCATCACTCATTCCTGTAACAGTTTGTAACAAGTAATCTTTTGCGTGGTATTTTTGTGTAAAACATATATTGGCTCAATAAAGATTAGGGTAAGAAATGAATTTGCAACCACTTGACCCCTAACATATTTGACTTGTAAATTTGTGTCGTAAAATCCTGTTGTATATTGTACGATCAATTTTAATTTTCAAAAGTGTTATCTCAAATTATATTTTAAAAAATAAAACCGTCTAGAGGTATTTTTTAAGTGCTGAATAACAAAGAGGTATAGTTCGTTGGCTCCTCCGGGTTTTTTTTCAGGAAAATACACATATATCACAAAATCGAAGCTAATATTAGTATTTGAGAAACACTTTCAACTGTTTTTAAATATAGTGAGTGAGTGAGTCAGTTTAATGTTGGAGGGTGGCCTAAAATGGATAAAATCATAGTGTGCCTTACTTTTAGTGATGGTATTTCCAACGTTCCTTAACATTAATTTCATCAAGGGATCACGGAAATCGAATTAAGGATGAACAGATCTTGAACTAACACGTCGCAATCTGCCATGATGTGTCCAACCCACCTGTGACCCGACTGTGACCTGTAAATCAGCCTAGCCACAAGGGAGTAGTTGCCTCCTGTCCCTGTAGAAGCACGGTACACAAACTAGACTGCTCACGGTGTCGGACAATTCATGTGCTCATCCCAGTATCATATGCTTTGATTTGTTTGTTTGTTTGTTGTTTAACGCCACATTCAGCAGCAATATTCCAGCTATATGACGGCGGTTTGTAAATAATTAAGTCTGGACCAGACAATCAAGTGATTGATAGCATGAGCATTGCTCGCTGACTTGGTTGATGGATGTCCAGACTCGATTATTTACAGACCGCCGTCATATAGTTGGAATATTGCTGAGTGCGGAGTTAAGCAACAAACAAACAAACAAATAAAACATGAGCACTGATCCACGCATTTGGGATACGACGACATGCATCAACCAAGTCAGCGAACGTGGCCACCCGACACCGTCAGCCGTCTCTTACGTTGCATGTTGTTGCTGAAGACCTACTCTAACCCGGATCTTCACGGGCCCCTCCATGCTTTGTAAATGCATGTAGGTCTTTGTTCCTGTTCTGCTCTGTTCTGTTTTGAACAGTCGTAAGGCCAGGGTCTCTGACATGGATGATTGCGTTTCATCTTTACCAAATGGCGAGAGTCGTTGTTGATGTCTTCTGTAACTGGCCCTGGTTGTCACACATGATCTTTTTACTTACGACGGTAGAAAAACATCGCCTAGCAATATTTACTCACATACGTAGACATACGCGCCCGGTTCAGTAAACACGTGACATGGCTATTTATAGCCCATTCATACAATGTACCTTCTTACTTATTCAATAATACTCAAAACGATTTGAGTTGTTCCTGTTGTTTTTGACGTTGTTCAAGTCAGTTAATGTGTTATATTTAAAAAAATATATATCCGCAAACACGACTACAAACCGTACCGGATAGGTACGCCATGTTTACGTACCTAGGGTTTGATACCAACATTTTCATCTGCCAGTCAGACACCGCAGCGGAGTGAACGTCAGGCCATGTCTTGGACGCAGGTACACGACGACGTTGGTACGTCAAGGCGAGCTTATGAAAGATTTGGACTCACATTTGACCCCAGCGTCTTTCGGGCCAATAGGGAGGTATGTACAGATGTCGGGGAAGGGAGACAACTGTGTTGCATTGTGTGAAGAACTCGTATATTTAACACATGACATATATTTGTAGTGTGTTGTAGACACTCTTTTATTTTGAACTGACTTCTTTACATATATTTTTTTTAAGAAACTGTCGTACAAGGGGAGGGAAATACATGATTTCCATTTTTATTAACTTTTAGTCTTGTTTAACTTTAATTAGGAAAAAGTATATTGAAAGCTGTGTCGTGGAACAACGTGACGTCGAAAACGATACATTGTGACGTCACTAAACCGTACATAAACAGCGATATCTGTAGTATGCCAACAGCTGTTGTCAGTAATACATATGTGCTTCGTCTGATTTATTAATTCACTTACGTTAAACACTATGGATAAATAGAGAATGTCACTCAAATGTCTTTTCATCTCATATATCATATATTGTCGATTATAGTTAAAAACTCCGAGGCTTGCAGGGTGATAATTTTTGAATTGCAGTTTACACGATATACGGCTTTTGAATTAGACGATAAGTCGGTCACATGACCGCAAAAGTGACGTTCATTAACGTACGAACGACACATTTTGACGTTCATGCGTTTTTCTCAAGACTGTATTATACGAGACTACTTCCACATTCCCAGGGAAATTCATGGGAATTCCCTGCACTAAAACATGCAGCAGTTTCTTTAATCTTGAATTTAGAGTTTTAACATACATTTGGATAAGTCAGAGATTTTGCCTGAATGCCCGTTCAAGAAAATCCTCGCTATGACCCATCCTAGTAAACCAACTGAAGAAATGCACATCCAAACTATGGACTAGATCCATGTCTAGACTAACAAGTAGCAGTCTACAGCGATCTATAAATTTACCTTGGCATCTATTTGACACATCTCTATGATCACCTATCAAGGAACGGCCAATTGATCAATGACGACTAACACCTGTAGTCGCCGCAGATTCATGAACAACTTCGGAAAACTCTCCCATCACGTTTATCGTGTCGGCAATATTTTTCGTCCCGTTTTTCTGTAAATGTATTACGACGCGCTGTCACTGTAACCGACTTACTGAGGCAGTTCTTACGAGACCTTTTTGATCAAATGATGATATTATTGGGATCCATTTGTTGTGACCACACAAGATGTGTCCCAGTAGAGAAAGTTGAGCAGGCAAACGCTCATGTAGCCACTCCTGTTGATGAACTACTTTATTCCATGTTACTGTAGGTTGTTGTTTGGCTGTCAGAGTAAACATGAAGTCACACGTACTAAATGAAAATGTTTAATACATCCCTTGAGCCTCGAGGTATACAATAATGATATTAAAGTTGTACGAACTTACTTCATTGGAGTATAAACCTGAATGAACGTAGGAGCTGGAACAGTTCAGCCCTCACTCTATAAAGGTTCATACTCCAATGAACTCACACAAAGTGAAAGTCAAGTCTTAATTGATATCAAACAACACTTGGGTGAGATTCAGGTTCAGTTTCTGAACAGTAACAATCGTGTTTTAAATGTTAAAGTACAACTTTCTAGCAGTAGAACAAGGAATAGTGATGTAATTTGATTGTGATCTCCTGGTAACCGACGACGTCACAATGATCTGCAAAGCATTGCGATGCAGTTTTATTGTAGTCACATCTCAAAGAAGGTATTGCTTGGTCTCAACCTGGCGATGTCTCCCAAAGAAGCCAGTTCTGGATGTCAATGACTTGTAATGACACGGTACATGTTGCTGTTATTGACTGTTCTCCCAGGCTCAGCTCAGTACCGAGGCCAAGGCGATCCTGTCCATTGACCCTGCGGACAGGACGGAAGAGCAGCTGCATCTCGCTCTAGCATCTCTCAAACAGGCTGTAGACGCGTTCGGGGAGTTTCCCATCAAGATGCAGCGGTCCCTTGTGAGGGTGGGCTGGTATGAACAGTAAGTATCCAGCCCCAGACATGCCATCAGATCATACTCAAAGGAAGGCCGATTGTGAACACTGTGTGTCATCGTACCCATATTGCCATGAAGAACAGACTGGAATAGTCAAGAATCGACTGGACTGACGCCGTGGTGTAGTTGGAATGTAATGAAATTGGGGATAAACAAAATTCCCTTTGCCATTCACTGTGTTACTAGCGTTGCTGGTCGCTTAACAGTGTCGTGGTACTTCAAGATAAACCATAAAAAATCAAACTTGATCATTGTTTTTTATTCACTGCAGGTAATATTGTATAATCTTCTTTAAACTCAATGTGTGTTGATCATGGTTATATTCACGAGTAAAGTACCTTCTCGCAAACCATTCGAGTTGCTGATAACAAGTCTTTGGCGTCATTAGAAATAACTATTGATAACATATCTGTAAAAGATCAACTTTTGAGCAACGAGTGGATTCCGGGTCAGAACTAGTTCCAGCAGCCTGTGTTTCTCGCCATTGGCGAAAAAATGGATTTATTGTGTTTATGTAAAGGCCGCCGTCATAAAGCTGCGATATTGCGGAGTGCGGCGTTAAAGAACAGACAATGTCAAACAATCTACACACTGTCAGTTATTTCGTATTTGAGATAGGCTGGTCGATCTTTATTTCAGTTTCGAACGAAAGAGAGTAATTATTCGACAAGGCCATGTGGCTGAGAACTTCTACTTCATCCTCTCTGGTGTCGGTAAGTGTGAACACACTTTAAAGCAGGTCCAGTTGAATAATACGTGATGTATCCTGTACAGTGTAACCCTGTTACTCCGGATCCAGCCACGGTGAACTCATCTGGATAAACAAATTTTCGGGTTAGCAATTCACATGTTCGTGGTAAGATCGCTGAAAAGACAACCAATGAACTTCGTGACGTGATCGACCGTAATGCGGAGATTCCGGAAAAACGGGGTCCGGAATAACGGTTTCACTGTACGTTTATGTACAGACGTCTTGTTCAATATAGCTGGAAGTGTTACTGTTTGCTCAGTGGCCCGATGAACCGTAATTCGCCGTCTGGGTCCCTCAACCGTGCAATAATCCTTTAGTCGTGGGTTCGACTACAACGCTTAAATTTTGAACACCAGACTCGTGCACGAGAAGGTTTACTGAAGTGCTAAATGTATGTTACCTTTGAACTCTCTCGCTACATCATGCTTATATAACTGACCCTTTTCAGTTATAAAATAATGAGTCAGACCCTTCTTCATCAACTCAACCGTTCCGTGCTTGCACACAGATAGTTGGTTGGTTGGTTTGTTGTTTTACGCCGCACTCAGCAAAATTCCAGTTGTATGACGGCGATCTGTATATAATCGGGTCTGGAACAGACAATCGAGTGATTGATATCATGAGCATCGATCCACGCAATTGGGATCGATGACTTGCTTCAACCAAGTCAGCGAGCCTGACCACCCGACCAGGTTAGTCGCCTCTTACGATAAGCATTATATAGTCGCGCGCACAGACAGCTTCTCCGGACCAATTACATGGACGTCGACATCTTTGTTTGTTTGCTGTTTAACGCCGCACTCAACAATATTCCAGCTATAGGAGGTCTGTAAATAATCGCGTCAAGGTCAGGCAACCCAGTGATTGGCATCATGAGCATCGAGCTATGAAATTGGAATATGAGGACATACGTCAAAATCTTCGCCTGTACGGATGTGTTGTCAATCGAAAATCCTTCTTTTAACAGTAGAATATCATTTATAGCTATAGCCACGATCGCGAAATAGTTCCTTTGGACAAAATATCAGTCAGTCAGGTATTCACAGGCCGTCGACATATAGCTGGAATATGGACGAGTACGGTGTTACGAAAGTTACAATTTACCGCAGTTTTTATTACAGATTACCGCAGTCTTACATTTAACCCCAGTGTTATTACATTTTACCGCAGTTAATTACAATTTACCGCGTTAAACATTACTTCGTAACATATGGCGTCAAACAACACGCACACCTCAAATACCTCAAAGTAGGCGATTATGTTTTGTTTTTCAGCGGTGGTGACTATATTGGAGACGAACAGACAGACACAGGAACAATATGGACACACAGCCGCCATGCTGAAGAAGGGGAACAGTTTCGGGGTAGGATACATGTTCACTCCTCACAGTGAACAACGCGGGTAGTCAGGTTCAGTGCAGGTCCCAGTACCCCACGATTGTCTGAGAGCCGAGTTAGAGTAGTGGGACGTTATGATCCATCTGACTGACTGTACATCATCATACCACCATGACATGAATCGTTGCTGCTCATGCTGTCAACCACATGTTTGCCTGAAGTTCGATTATTCACATGTCGCGGCAATATAGCTGGGATGTTCCTGACAGTGGCCTAAAACAACATGTATTCACTTAAACTCATCGAATGGTGCACCTCAGAACTGACGCTAACGTGCAACAAACACTATTTATCTATATCCTAAAGCCGTCCTGATTTTGAAACCGACAGTGTTTGATGTTGATTTGCAGCTAGCTTCTGCAATATATCTAGTAGTCCCACATCGTAACGAAACGACTATCGGTGGAGGGGTTTACACACCTTTCCTGAGAACAAAGGTAACCATAGCGACGAGTCAGAAGTCTCTTATAAATAATTAAAGACGCGCTGTAATCGTCGTTCAGGACGAACGTAGCTTTTAGGGATGGTAAGTATTTTTATAAATATCGTAAATTCACAAATTTAATATTAACCATGTGCAGTGTTTCTTGATATAAACAACAAAGAAGTGTAAGCATTTTCAGAAAGCCGTACAAGCATATTATGTTTATTTATTTGGCAGAGAAAACGTCAAATAAATATATAAAACACACAGTTGTCAAGTTAGCTTTCTCCATTCCTGTATTAGTGTAAGAAATGGAAAAGACTAAAATACATACAAAACATGAAATTGATTGCGGCGCACACCCGACCCACGGAAAGAAATGGGTGGTTCATAGTCTGCCATCGTACCCCGCCGGCGTCCTCTCCCTGGCAGGTGTGAAGCTCAGGCCTTTGTGTCGGCCACATACATAGAGGGGAAGCTAACATCTCGCGAATCCTATTGTCTTGAATACTCTTTCCTGCATTTTAAAAACTGTTTTGGTGACATTTTAAAATGTTAAAGATATTGTCAGTTTGGTGGTGAATTTTAGATATTTGTCCACACGTTTGTGTGATTAACAGTACACAGAGAATTCTGTGTTGTGTCTGAGAACGAAGAGAATTCAAACCGTGGAGAATGGTGTGTGGGCAAATGCCTTTTTGCCTGAAGGTATATAATTTACATGTTAGTGACGCCAATGGGCCATCGACCACTGGCTTTGCGTGTTTAGTAATACTTTAAAGATAGTACTGGTGGAATAATGTTGAGGCTGTCATTAATGAGAGAGTATAATTTTGTGTCGTATGTAGCAATATTCCATTTTCTGATCCAGAGCGTGGGTGGGTTGGCTTTGGGTAGAGGTGACGGGGTGTGTACCTCTTTTATGAAAGATACCGTCATACATTCGGAAGCTTCAAATATGATCGGGTATCCTAAACGTAACCGTATTATAGCATAATAGCTGAAGATTTTGCCCCAACATTGCACGACTACTAAACGGAAATTGCCAAATCACAGCACGCAACCCTTCCCACAATACCACGGCGGAGGAACTCATCATGGTTCAATCAATTATTATAATGCTGACATATGTTGAGTTGAAACAAGTAAAATCAATTCCCTTCATTACAATGTCGGTGTCATGTATGACACCCCCCTGTCGTACCCCTACAGGAGTTGGCCCTGATGCATGGGGCACGGCGCAGCGCGACTGTCACGTGCAAGAACGACGTGGAGCTCCTCGCAGTGGGGAGACAAGACTTCATCGACATCTTCATGAACGTGGAGAAAAACAAAGAACCAGACCACATCACATTCCTTCGTTCCATCGACACCTTGCGTGGATGGCCTTTGGAGGTTCTCCCCTACAACGACCCGAGGACCTGCATCTACACCTACTTCAGGTGAGACACCATTAGCAAGCATCACACAGGCCGATGTCCATTACTACCTCTTGGTATTTAGTGCTTTTGGTTGCATGTTTTACCGGTGTGTCAGTTAAAATATTATCGTACTTCCATAGTAACAATGTTACCACATTCACAAAATTTAGAATACGATAATATGTAGTCATGTTCATGTGCACTGAATTTCTTAGAATGTAACTTCCAAATGTGATTGTTTTAGGAGAATAAAATAATGTTTGCGCACATTGCACGAATATAATCAATAAGACCTGGGTCAGAGGCGTGACGGCGACCGTTTATACAACTAACCACCTCACAGCCAATTGAAGACCTGGATGCTTTGGTGTTTTGTCAGGACCGTTGCTGCTACAGACCCACGACCTCAACCGGACACTGTATCTTAGAAATCATAGTCCTTAGCTATCATGTGTCAATGGCGACAGAAAAACGCTGTTATCTAAGATCTAATTATGAAGTTCCCGGACAGAAAATCGTGCCCCTCAGACTAAGAGTGAGTGAGTGAGTTGGGTTTAACGCCGCTTTTAACAGTATTCCAGTTATATCGCGGCGTGTCAGCCTAATGTGGGAGGAAAGCCCGAAGTGATGCAGGTCTCAGACGTTTACCCTCTGACTAAGAGGACTGTTAAACCAGGAACATATGATGCCACCGAACGCCATCTTTAGCCTCGTAGACCAACGTTGTGGTTATAGTACATAATGCTGTAAGTCATCACGATCAACATCACTATTCACATCACGAGTTACAGCTTATCAGAGAGTGAGTGAGTGAGTTTGGTTTGACTCCACTCTCTGAGCAGTGAGTTAGCGTTATGTGGTAGGAAAGCCGGACTGATGCAGGCTGTCATACCCGTGGGAGTGATGCTGACAAACCTGGAAACATTATCAAAGCGAATCTGGTATTCGATCCCAAGACTGAATGTTTCTGTGGCGCCTAATGATCTTGGCACGCCAAACGGATGCAATTACGCACAGCTTAAAACATCTTATTTATTATGGACAATAGTGAGAGTCCTACATCCAATGTACTTTGTGCGCTTGTGTGGTATTAGGTCATGCAAAATATTGTCCTGATACTTTCGAAGAAATAATTTAAGTACCGACCCGTTGAACACCTGCCTGACGTTTCCGCGAAACGTCGATCATTAAGAATTTATTCTCATCTTAATTCTACGAAGCACATTGGTCTTATCGTTTCAGGACTTCAGACATGACGTTCTGGAAGTCAATCTGAAATGTGTGTGACGTTATTGTAAAGTCTTTGTCAGGCTGTAAATGTATTACGCCGTGGGAGATGCGAGGCGCATGTAAATGTCCCCCATCAGTACCACCCCAATATCATGTCCCTTAACCTACACAGCATTAATTCTTCGAATCCATGAAATCTAATTACTTCGCTCTTTTCGATCAGAATCAAGTTGTGTTTATGTCATCTGAACTATTTAAAGGTCTACATACAGTTCAGGTATTTGCGGCGATGAGTTGAGTTGCTGCCATGTTAAGACACGGGAATTATATCCAATGTATGTGTACATATGTGTTAGTACTTACTTCCTCGTGTCACAAACAACTGTCATGTAGAACAACAACACCAGTGTGTGTTCATTGTCTACAAGGTACAGGTTTTAGTATCCGCGCGGTGCAAGATAAGCGTGTTTCTCAAAATCCATTGAAGCACACGTATAATAATGATTTGATGCGCAATAGAATCGCCTTTATTGACCTGACATGTAATGACGTGAAAACTTATTGTTGTTCACGTTTCGATAGCACTGTTCTTGATAAGATTTTCGGCAGGGTAAAACATCATTCGTTTTCACAACACTTAATCATTAATTGTTGTTGATACATGTAACAATGAGATTATTTCATTTGTACCGCTTCCGTTGTTGTCTGGCGTTCGGCATTAACGGGCTAAAAAAAGGACTCGTCGGTTTGGAGTCAGTATATTTTGTCTGAGTGGGGTATTCATGTTAAACTGCGGCATGGTATGTCAATGGGCTGGCACTATAAATCGGCATCAGTCCGGACTTAAACAAGCAGCAACATACACATACACACACACACGTGCATGCATGTCGCTATATAAATGCAAAAATCTTGGACGCGATGGTAAACCCCAGTTCACCTCACCTTACCTATTTCATTCATGTTTGAAAAATACTGATTATATTTACCATCTCTCGTCTAAAGTTATGTGATAGAAGAATTCTAACATTCATTTTTATAAATTAGTTGGAACACATTCGAATATCTATAAATCCCAGTCCTAAATATAAAAAAACCGACTCTCAAGCCTTTCACGCTTCATTAAAGACATTCCCACAATACCCCCAACTTCCTCCCTGTTTGTAAGCAGTGCTAAAAGCGCCACACAGTATACACATCGTCTGAGATACGTGTTCTAACGATGAGGGACGGTCGGATAGCCTAGTGGTTAAAGCGTTCGCTCGTCATGCCGAAGACCCGGGTTCTATTCCCGACATGGGTACAATGTGTGGAGCCCTTTTCTGGTGTCCCCCGCCGTGATATATAGCTAGAATATTGCTAAAAGCGGCGTAAAACTCACTCGCTCACTCTTACGATGATGCAAATATTCTGACAGGCGAGGCGTCCTCCTGTGCAAGGAGAGCAACACAACCGACTGGATCTACGTCATCCTCACCGGATCCTGCCGCGTGCTCAAGTCTCTGTACGCAACCAAACCCACCTTCGAGAAGAACGACTACACCGACAAGAATAAGATCAACACAGATCACGCCAGTAAGTTCTGTTACTTCTTGTTCTACTATACAAGTCCACCTTCAAACGAGAGAACAGAATATGTTCACTCTGACGTGTGTGTCACAAAAAAATATTTTTCGGATCAACCCAATGATGGAGTACTTCCTCCATTGATTGAGACTGATATGTATGTCAAATATGTGTCAATGCTATGCGCTTCTTAATTTTTTACAACATTGCCTTTGTACAGGATATACTCTCCTGGATGAACAAGAATAATATTCCTTGTCATGGATACTCTTGTCATTTTCGAGTACTCATATGTTGGGATATGCTCTTCATGGTATTGTGAAGCGAATTTGTGCCAAGGATTAATTCTCTTCAGGGAGTACACGTGTGTTGTTGATACCAGCAATCCTATGTTATTATGCAGGGTTTGGGAGTGTGTCTCTTCCGCTGTCAGCCCGGGAGACGCCTGAAGAATGTGTGCCCCGCAGTCTCTTGAAGTCTCGCCACCGCCGGAGGAACGAAAAGAAGACGGGAAGACGACGACAGGCAGTCACATGCCTACCTGTAATCACAGCCCGAAGTCAGGAGGAACGTATGTTTCACGTACTGGGATTCTGTCAGTGTTTAGTGAACCAGTTCACCCAGGTTCAGCTGCTTAACAAGCGTCAGTATGAACCGCTGTCTGACTGCTCCATCACTGTCGTTCTTGAGCAGTGGTATCAATTATTTGCAAATATACACAGGAATGTTGAAAGTTCCAACTTTGGAGAAAATCTATTAAAAAATTGTATTCTGATTAAAACAGAATTAATTCTTATTTACTTCTCGATGACAGAACAGTGTCTAGGTGAAAGTCAGGGGGATATGTTAAAAAATGTCGATTATTGTTTTAGGGTATTAATACTTTCAAGTAAATTTCAGGTCCCCCTGTTGCCATGTTCATTAAAAGCCCCTAACATCAGTAAGGGGGCCAGTCGTCTAAGGCGCCGCGATTCGCTGTGGGGTGTTTCGTCCTTTGGGCACGCCAGAAACCCATGATTGTGGGATCGATTATGTTTCTAGGTTTGTCAGCACCATACCCGTGCTCGTGGGTTTCACCGAAGTGGTAAACGTATGAGACCTGCATCACTTCGGGCTTTCCTCCCACATTAAGCTGACACGCAGTGATATAACTGGATTAATGTTAAAAGCGGCGAAAACCCCACTAACTCACTCACTCACTCACTAACATCAGTAGATTGATGAGGATCTTATGCATGCACAAGTAATAATCCTATTAAGGGAAAGGACAAACAAATAGCACATGTATCGGTTATGTCATCTGTCGACAAGAGAAAGGTACTGCAGCGATATGTTTTCTTTCCAGTGGCACAGTCTGCGGAGGATCACGTCCGGGAGTTAGATGAGATGCTGGACCACGACAGCCTCATAGACCTGTTTAATGAGGTAAGAATACACTGCCGCATCAATGTCTAAACAATTAATTTGAATTATTTCCAATAAAGTATCAGTCTGAACCAGTTCTCCCAAACAGAAAGGTTATATTGTATGTGAGTAAGATAATCGATATGTCATATATCATACAATCATGGAAAAGCGATACTCACACTGTGCTACTTCATTGGGGAAGGTAAAGTTTAATGTCACGTACTTTCATTGGTCGACTGCCAAAGTGGGAAGTGTTGTATGTTTCGGGTTATCTGACTGGATAATATGGATGGTCAGGATCGTGGTCATTGCAAGATGTTGGGAGCCTTTGAGAATTACCAAGCCTTCCGGTTTTATATCACCAATGCAATAGACATAATTGTATTGTTGTGCACGGAACAGAGAACACTGAATGAACACTAAGTACACCATGTATTAGCTAAATGAGACGCAAACCATTTACATCGTCCTGTTTGTGAGCCAGGGGCACAAACGTGTATCTGGTATGTGGTCGGTGTAAGATTTTAGAATCAAATCTTTGTCTTGTTTACTGATCATTGGATTGTCATGAACAACTTGCGTTACTCAGTTGGTCGATGACGTTTTGACAGTATTTGCGTGTAACAAGTTGAAGCACATGTTCTTGAAAACCACAGCCAACCTAGGCTGGATCTCAAGACTCGCCCCGATTATAACCCTGAGTCATTAGACTGTAATCTATTTCAGATCCCACCGAGGAAGAAAACCTCAACCAACAGCGATTGCCAAGAAAAAGTGTTTGTCCAGATACAGAAACTGGGCCCTAAAGAGATTTACGTACGTGTATTGCAGAAATGTGTAAAAAAATCATATCAGAGCGATATTAGATGTATTGAAATTGTAGTTCAATAACACGTAGACATATTTTGATTTTAAGATTGTTTTTGCCGGCTGATTTGATGAGATAAGTTGTTGATCGTTATCCAATACGAAGTTACAAATGAAAATAATCAGAACGTAGTGGTTGGATGAGTTGAACGATGTCCTAACATATCGTTAAACGTATACACATTGTCAGACATGGACCGGTGGTGGGAAAGCTTGTTTAAACCGATTTTGTCATTTTTACTCAACGACAGGGCCTAGAGCAGGCAGTCTTCAGCATGATGGGGACCACCACCAACACAAGCCTCGTTTCCGATGGCGCCGAGTGTGTCCTTATAAACCGAAAGTTCTTCCTACATCACCTGTCTGAGAGCACGGCGAAAAGAATGCGGAGAATGGTGGGTACCCAAGACTTCCATTGCCCCTGAACTGCTGGTCAGGATTAAAGCTTTGTTATGATTTTCTCTCCTAAATTATACAATCATCAATAGTTCATTAAACGGTAAATTAACTGTGATCAATTTGTGAACGGCATATCTTACAGGCGTAAAACCACTCTCTGTGAAGATTTATAACACACTGCCGCTTTTCGGATTCAATACAATTAATATAAGAATAACGCAAATGAAAATTTTAGTTTCGAATTCTGCCTTGCAATTTTTGCTTGATTGGCACACGTTTTTGGCTCGCTTCCCCATTTGGCACATACACGAGTTGGAAATTGAACAGATATTATCCCTGCATTACCATTCCCGGCTCTCCTCCCACATCAAGCTAAAATGCCGACATAACTGACACACACAGTTCAAAGCGACGTTGATCATGCCCACTGTTTGTGTGGTATTAATTTATAAATTTAACTTATTAAGTTAGTAATATTAGTTTAATAAAGTCGTCATGTATGTTAGTATGTTCCTCGTGCCTTTAACAGAAGCAATGAGCTTTCAAATTAACATTGTTCCATTGAAGGAGGTGAAATAACTTTTACTGTCGAGTGTGGTCTAATGCTTCTTGGTAGAATATAATGATAATACATATAGAGGCAAATATATATCACTAGCACTGAAGCAAAGTTTAACACACATTGGCAAAGGCATAAGGCAAAGAAAAACAATAACATGACCTTTAATATCAGCAGAATCTATTTTCTACTCGACACAGTAGTACAAACAGTGAAATCACGATAACCCGAAAGATTATCAGCGCAATCGGACAGATTAACAAATGAATGGATTGACGAATCATGGTTTTGTCCGTCAGACGTCATCAACTGAAGGCTTACTGGAATAGTGTTCAAAGCGGCGTTAAACCTAGCTTATTCGCCCATGCACAATAGGCAGCGTTTCCAGAATAACGTGGTTTCAGTATCTGCATACATATATATGTCTTGAAAATTATTCTGTTCAGATTCAACCGATTCCATCTGATGACAGTTTACAGCAGAAGCTACAAAACAAGGCCAACTGGGAGGCGTATAAAGCCTTGACCGTCACGGACTACTTGGTGTACAGGAAACATCTCCAGGATTTCCTGAACTTGTAACGTCACCATGTCTGCTTGTCAACGTCGTATGTGTACTCGCCATGCCAGGGTAATGCCAGAACCTTGCATTGTTCTTGCCAGAAGCACCCAAGCCTTTCCAAATCTTCATCGTTCTTCGACATCGGACACATCATCTCAATGTCGCAACGACATTGAGATGCACTGTGTGCTGCCATTGACGCAGCAGTCTGTATCCAAACAGAAGTGGATCTTTAAACTTCGAGAGGAAGTGGTGGATGCCGTCACACAAAGTAAACTCTACTACTTAAGAGATGTCAGAAAACAAACTACTGTAATGAAGTTTCCTGACATGTGAAAGAATCGCCCTTTCTTTTGAGCAGAATATATTGCAGACCCTTGTGCGTCCAATTACTACTGTATTATATGTGAGGAACATGCGTCAGTTATTCGGCTAGAAATGGACTTTATATTACGTAAAATGTTTCTTAACAAAGTCTCTGATGCTTTCACGTTTGTATGGTTTATTTTGAAAAGTAGCGTCTCACAAGCATATACATATCAGATGTTCACGAGAACAGCATCCCTCTTATCTGTGTTCCTTACAAACACACTATTCCAGACTCGCACAATCTCACACTCCAAGGCCTCTCAGTGACAAACACATATCAGATGTTCACGAGGACGGCATCCCCCATATCTGTGTTCCTTACAAACACACTATTCCAGACTCGTATAATCTCACCCTCACAAGGCCTCTCAGTGACATACACATGTCAGATGTTCACGAGAACGGCATCCCTCTAATCTGTGTTCCTTACAAACACACTATTCCAGACTCGTATAATCTCACCCTCACAAGGCCTCTCAGTGACAAACACATATCAGATGTTCACGAGGACGGCATCCCCCATATCTGTGTTCCTTGCAAACACACTATTCCAGACTCGTATAATCTCACTCTCACAAGGCCTCTTGACAAACACATATCAGATGTTCACGAGAACGGCATCCCTCTAATCTGTGTTCCTTACAAACACACTATTCCAGACTCGTATAATCTCACCCTCACAAGGCCTCTTGACAAACACGTGGCATATTCACGAGAACATCACCACTAATCTGCGTTCCTTACAAACACCTTATTCCACCTTATTATCACACTCACAAGGTTTCTTAGAGGCATACTCAAATCAGATGTTGATAATATATTAATAAAGCCTTACCTCCAGAACCGCACAACAGTACGAGCTGTGCCGATTAAGTGGGTCCTGTTTTGTGAACTTGTCCAACTTGCTGTTGTTATACAAACATGTGATATGCAACTCTGTGTTACGCTGTATGTTGTGACAGTCAGGCATGATAATTTATACGTTGTTCCTTTTCCTGCAGATGGACATATGTCGCTTCATGTACTTCACCGTAATGTTTTCATCCTGCTTGAAGTTACCGTCCAGGTTTCTGTGGTTGTGTCTGTGTGGAGGTTATCAAATTTTTTATTCATTGCAAACTGAAAGGCCATAGGCCCATAGTTCAACGTATTTACAACGTATGCGTGTTTCTTCTAACTAACAATGCCTGCTGTATGTACAATGCAATATTTTGTAATAAAGTAATATTTGAGGTTGACATGAGTATGCAAAACAAAGTGATATTTGGATAAGATGTAAACTTCTTTGGAATATACTTGTTTCTTAATTGAAGATAGAATTTACACACAAGCATTTTCTACAACATTAAGGTTACAAGATGTACCAAAATTATTAGACTTTTTAAATATACCTTTATAGATCTTTATCACAATAACCTGCTCTGAACTGCGCAAGCGATACTCGAAGATTTTTTGTTGTAACAGATATTAGATATTCTTCCAGTATAAATTGTTGTTTAAAGAGAGAATAGGTATATGTAACATTTGCTATTTCTTAGTTTTTCTTTCCACATTTGCTGAAAACAATCTTTAGCTCTTTGAAGTAATAAGGACATAAACATCTTGACAAACTGAAAAGGGTGATTTTGATGTTTGTTGCCCAATTATTTTTATTGCGTGAGTGACTGGCATTGTGGTGGAGATAGAACAGCATGTTATGGGCTTTTACTGGGAATCGCGTGGATGGAAGAGTCGTTAGTTTTAATAAATAATTTATACAGCGCTTAAGCGAAAATATATTGATATCTGCCACATTCCCTAAGTACAATATCATTTGGGGTGGAGGATCGAACCCCAATTACACGTTTACACGCATAAAGATGAACTTTTTCTATACACTCATATTTTCTATGAGCCCATATTTCTGATCCATAAAGTAAATATGGCATCATCTTTGTATCAAAAATTTGGAAGTATAAATTACAGGGCAGATTATCATATTTTAACAAACTTTGTAGGATTGACATCAACACTTTCTTAGCTTTAACAGATGTAGATTCTAGATATTTATTCCAACCTAAAGTCCGAGCAAACAATATTCCAAGGTTAGTATAAGATGCAACTACTTCTATATGTGCATCTTTGTATATCAATTTCTCTAATTTTGATAATTTCCCACCGCTTTTAAAAACAAGAACTTTAGTTTTATTTAGATTGACGGACACTGACCACTTGTCACAATAATTTTCAAAATATTGATTTGACGTTGAAGATCAATACCGAATCAGAAAAAAGGACAACATCGTCAGCAAAAAGTAAAAGGAATATTTCTTTTAGATCCGGATATAACTGGATGCCATTTTTAGATTTTGATTAAATTTCAAGAACAAGCTCATTTATGAAGAAAGAGAGCAAGAATGGGCCTAATACACAACCCTGACGCACTCCCAAAGGGCAAGCAAACATACTTGTAAGGTTACAGCCATTGGTTCGTACAGAAGCTTTAACTGATTGGTAAATGGCTTCTAATCATTTTTCCATCTTTGATGCCCACCCATGTTTACCAAAGAAGTGCCAGAGTTTTTTTCTTTGAACGGAAATCAAATGCCTTAGCGAAATCAACAAAACAAGCATATAATTTACTTCCCCTTTTTGAGATATATATTTTGTAATTCAAGCTTGTAAATTGAAAACTTTGTCCATTGTGGAATATCCAGCTCTAAATCCTGCCTGTTCTTCCAAAATGTTTCCCGTTGCATCTGAGCAAAACGTTAATCTGCCATTAAGAATCATGATATATAATTTTCCAAAACAACTGAGTACAGACATTCCCCGATAGTTATCAACATTTTCCTTATCACCCTTTTTATGCAATGGAACAATGATTGCTTTTGACCATTCCGAAGGAAAAACACCTTTATCATGTAGAGAATTGAACAATACAAGACTTAGTAAATATGGAACAAGGATATTACCTGAACATTGAAACTTTTCACTGATTACATAATCTGTTCCAGCTGCTTTATAACATTTCAACTTACGAATATTCTCTTGTATTTCCTCACTGCTGATAGGGGCATTAAATATATCATTCGTGGCAAATTTAACCCAATTAGTACCAGTGAAAGTTATAGCACATGCATAATTCAGTTACATACAACTATATATATTGGCTTCCGAAGCAGAGTGAAAATATGAGTCACAGCCAACATCACTTTTGAGAGTTGTGTCCCTTAGCTATCAGGATCCGTAGATTAAAGGTTGCGTTTTTTCTCACGCTGACCAACTATAATCTGTGTTAATCTATCACATCTCAAACATGCGTTGAATTATCGATAAGTCGGTTATTTGCTTATAGAATTTGGTTTGTTCAATTATACAAAATGTAAGTAGTGATTATCTTTTCTTCCAAAAACAAAGTGAGTGAATCCGTGGATTTAATAATATGTCGCCGTGACCTTTCGTTTGAAAATGCAGGGATGTGTCATAAAATTATCAATGACTACCAGAAATCATCTCATTTTGTGATGGATGTGATTTATGTAAAATATCATATTAATTTGGTTGTCGCTAGTTTGTGTCTCACTTGTGCTGAATGTGCGAATGGTCATGCGCACTAATCAATGTGTGTACAATAATTGGTTCGAATAAATATTTTTTGTGTGTTTCTCTTCGAGTTCAGTGATTAAATCAGTAAATAATCCCACCTTTCAAATTGATGTTTTTTATTAGTTCACGATGAATGGGCATTATTTATCAAAGAAGTTATAAATATATTAATGACATGTTGATCGTGCCACTGCCGAATCATAAATATCTGTCATCTTCCCAGAAAGATTTTCACACACCAACAATCGACAACAACTAAAAGTGCGGGAGTTTTGTTATTTAGAACCATCATAGCGGCATGTGGGTGATTTGTACTATTCACAAAGCCCACGTCCATTAGATCAACTGATAACACGTTAACCATGTCGTTATGTGTACTCTTTCCGATTCACTAAGTCCCCAACACATGTCAAACGGAATAGGACAACATGTTAAGGAGATTTATTAAGAACTCTTCGTCTTGGTATTGGGGTTTATTTTACACCCGTATCGTAAGCAGCCCTCGACCGCTGTAATAACATTATCCCGACACGCCCTTGGGCTCAGCTTCGAATATGTTAATACTGCGAGATATGAGTTTTATTGACATGGTTTAATGGTTCCATTCAACACACAAACAATGAACTATACACACTTACTCTGTCTAGCTGTCTATCACCTCCAGTTGAAACACAAGCCGATTATTGCTAAATTCGTTCATGCTTCGATTGTTGGGAAGAAATGTTAGGACGGTGTGGTTTCTTGGGTTCCTACTGATTGTATTGGGATTACTTAGGTGGCATGTGTAGCTATGGACATTATGCTTACTGCATAGGTATTATTTATTGTTATATTGGCTCCCACACTGGAACACAGCTGTTGTGCACACTCGAGAGACGGGTCAAGGAATGTATATATAGGCAGTGCGTTTTGGAAATAAACGGTGAGTTTTAAATTCAATCAGTGTTACATATCAAGAAGTAATGTAATATTGACCAAGTTGTTCTATTTGGATTTTCATTGGATCATGATTAGAAAAAAATGCGGACATTTCCAAGATGAGATACTTGTACATCGACTGTAGACAAAGCCATCAGCGAGGGAATGAGGTTTCTTTGTAGCCAATATATCAGTAAGACGATATATCAACAAACAACGCGGATGTTTACAGTCGAAAGTGATTTCTCCAGGCGTATAAGGATTAAATAATAAACTATACAAAAAGAGAGTCCAAATATTTGTGATTGTCAGAACTCCTGGATGACACACACACACACACACACACACACACACACACACACACACACACACACACAACACAACACACACACACACAACACACACACACACAAAACACACAAACACGCACACACACGCACACACACACACCTAACTTATACAGATTGCTTATTGTACGGATGATGTACTGGTTATAAGGCAATACATTCATCTGTGCCACGCTAGTGTTCATGTTCATATTTCACATGATGCATTGATGAAGTCACATCGGTAGTAACCTGTAATGTAATTATCCTGTACTTCATGTCTTACATAAACCTTACATAGCTCCCGTGGTATTCTCCTTCGAATTATTAATGGCTTGTGTATTTTATGATATTACTGATTAATTTTGCAATTACCGATGTATATTTATATATCCTATTAGATTTATAGGTCATAATGAGGACATTTTAATATTTCTTTCATGAAATTGTGTGCTCAGCCTTCATTCCAAAACATGTATATCGAGTTATCAGGTTTTTTTTCGAGAAATACAGACATGGCGATCAAAAGTCTGTGGGGGAAAGTACAGCGTCTTAAACGACGTATCAAAGAAACGGAGTCCGCGTTAACGAGAATCCAACAATACTACTACTACTACTACTAATAATAATAATAAATGTACAAATACATGATAGAACAACGTACTTGGACAAAGTATAATGTATGTTTAAGTATGACCCCTTCCTTTGATTAAAACCTTTACCTTTATCGGAGTGCAAAGTAATCAACAAACAAACCCAGCCACACGACACCGCCTCGTAAATATGCAGCATGTCCCGCTCACTCAAGACACACTGTAGCTACCTCATCCTGCTCTATTACACAGCTCATAAAGAAACAACGAAAACACACGTGCAGCAAGTAAACCCCCTTCTACACACACAGGTGATCAAACGCATGGCTGTGTTGCCCAGGTGTGCCTCGAGTGGGTACACTTAGCTGACGTTCTGCTGACAGCGGTAGCCGACAGGGCTATAAACATGCCTACTAGTATCTGCCAGCTTTACTGGTAATCGATTCAAGTTAAAGTGGCATTGATTATGTTTTCATAGAGTATCAATACAAATAGTTTTTGATGGTTTTATATTTTCAGGTAATTTGTTATCTCGAGATCAGAATGATGGATTAGCTGAGGAATATTTGACTTTTTGGTCAAGATGATGGTCAGGTGGACATGTACATATACTTAATTAAGGCATGCCTGATGCTCTGTTGCAGTGAAGGTATACATTTCTATTTTAGTCGTAGGTGTTTGTTCTTTTTTAAAATGGCCGGTTCAAACAGAGATGTGTATCAATGATAGTGTAGCAAGAGTTATGCCCCTTGGATTCTCGCCACCGACTGTACCAGTCCAAGTCGAACAGACCTTTACATAGGTTTATATAAATACTACTGATTAACGGCCGTTTCTGTTAAATTTGTCCTTTGTACTGATAAAGGGTAAGCTGTGTAAAATTATGTGTTGTGGTTTAGCTTGAACTATTGTTACTGCATATATTGTCGATGGCGACAAGCCTAACATGTTTTCTTTTAAAGTAATGATGATCATCATGATAAACATGACCATCATCATCAACAACATCGCCATCTCCAAGTTTATTTTGTTTGCTCTGCCAACAATATGTGCAGTGAACCTCGGCATATATTGTCGCATGGGTCAATAATACGCCAGCGACAATATACGCCGTAACAACTGTTTACATGTCATTGACGCCCTAATTATTTTTGCGGCACTTTTTGCAATATTCCTGCAATATCACGGCGGGGCAAACCTAAATGGGCTTCACACATTGTACCCATGTGAAGAATCGAACCCTGGCCTTCAGCGTGACGAGCAAACGCTTTAACCACTCGGCTATACCACCGCCAAATTGACAACCTGAACACAAAAAGAGACGTATGAAATGAGTACACGTAAATAATCAAAGAAACATATTGTCTTTTGTCTGTAACATAAGCTTCACCTGCCTCGCAGGTGGAGTGTGTACTTAAAGTGATGCATCGGCATGTCGTTCATGTCGTGGTTAATATTTCACAACCTGTCGTCGACGACGGGTTAATTTGTACCCTCAGTCGGCCTGCCGGGGATCAGACAATGTGTGCACTATAGATAGGGATATACATTTCATCATGTCAATAGCATACTTGAAATAAGCACATGGTGTTCATGACAATACCTAAACCCAGCTGTTTATCCATTGTAGGTTTTCAATGCGTTGGTGTTTCTCAAAATACCCAATATATAATGTAATGCTGCATTACTAAACATCTGCATACCATGCATGCGATGAGCTCATCACCGTACAGCTATGTAATATACGTGAGCTGACTGACTGAGTATGGTTTTACGCCGCTTTTAGCAATATTCCAGCAATATCACGGCGGGGGACACCAGAAATGGGCTTCACACATTGTACCCATGTAGGGAATCGAACCCGGGTCTTCGGCGTGACGAGCGAACGCTTTAACCACTAGGCTACCCGACCGCCCCAATATACGTGAGGATGTGTTTATTGTAATAAAGTAATAATGCATATACTACTCTAAGGCTTTATTAAAAAAGCATTGCTTTGGACATAATTTCAAACCAGGAACTGTTTTTATTATCTTTAACGGCAGTTTTAGTCATGTTGATTGATGAGAAGACGAACACGAAGTTGGATACAGAACAAATTAACTGTGACAGTTGCAATTGCCAATCTTGTAAGATTTACGATATAAGTTTAAGGATACGGTGACACGGTGGTTTCTTTGTTAAATTTGATCCCGTCCTTTATCGACCGGTTTAAGCTGTTTCAAAATCATTCTTGGAAGAGTCCTTTACAGCGTAGGGGATAGATCGTAGAAACGTTTATATATGTATAAAGTCACGTTGTTTCGTTCTTATTAATACAAAGTACAATTGCCGTATATGAAGACACAGTAAACTAAAAACATAAGCCTACTTTGATATTGACTTAATTAAAGATTCGTGCAACTAAAATGTTAATATCGTTACCCGACGTACCCTATTTAGTACAATGGGTTGTCCTATATGTACAAGAAGAGACAACCTACCCGAGAGAGGTATTGATTTTCACCATTACTCGGGTATAAAAGGGTAGCTTACCCGAAATCCTCTTATCTCCCTTTTGTTATCAGAGTGATAAAAGGACATGGTTTGTCGGGTGTAGTTGTGTAAGCAGACTGACACTCCATAGCCTTGTCAGTGTCGCCGTAACGCCGTGTACAGACGCTCGCACATTACAACCCTACTTCAGTGTCTGGTTTTGGCGACACCTTGGTTGTACTTATACCATGCGTTGCATGCAGTGGACATTCAACATGGAGTTTTATACGAAATCAAGTGAGTACACTGAGTAGCTTCACTGAATGAATCTAAATTCATTTGTTATTATACACAATTTAACCTTGTCAGCCCAAACATCTAAACCTTGGTCTAGTGGTAGTGCGCCTGCCCGGAGAGAGGAAGGTCTGTTGTTCGATGCCCGGCCGCGTCATACCAGAAGGGGTTGTAAGAAGGCACTAGCTCTTATAACCCTGCCTGGCGCTCGGCATTCAGGAGATGAAACAAGGACTGGTTGGCTCGGAGTCATTGTACTGTGTCTGAGTGGGGTATGGTAGCCATTAAACTGGCTTAAGTCCGGATTAGCAGCCACACACACGCATGCGGGTCGTTTTATAAGTGCAATAATCTTGAATGCAACATTAAGCTCCGTGTCTTCTCACCTTACCGGACCCTGAATCTGGAAACGTCTTCTCTCCGACGATCTTGAGAGGAACGTGTTTACAAAG